GGGGGGGGGGGCAGGTTGGTGGGGTGATGATGATAGACAAGAAAGCAGGGAATTCATATATAGAATAGTTAAGTGATGCGGTGGGAAAGGGATGCTATGGGACCACACAGAAGGAGATCTAACTCAGATTTGGGGGACCCTGAGAAGTCATTATTAACATAAGATTTGGGAAAGAAATAGCCCCTTTACCAAATTCTGAAAGCATCTGAGGTCCAGCTATTAAGATTTGCCAATCATGGAGCTTGCCAGTTTTTTTAGTCTAATCATGGAAAGCTTGGGCCAAGAGCCTAAGCTCTCAGACTACTTAATTCAGAAACTCAAAACCCCCATATGGAATATCTTTCAGATTACCAGATCCAGCTAACATACAAATGGCAATGATAACAATGGCAGGCATAATGAATCAATCATAGTCTTTTTCTCACTGAGCCAGGACACAGCCTCAGATTCTCTCCCAAGGAAGTGCTCCTGTTTCCTAATACCACTTTATGCCCTTAACCTAACTCTTAAAAAATAATTGCTGTGGGCTAGGTACTTTTACATATGCTATCTGATTCAAGTTAATTTTCATAACCATGTGAAGTAGCATAAAGAAAGTAAAGCTCAGCCCACCTGGGTGTGGCTCAGCGGTTGAGCATCGACCTAGGATCCAGGAGATCGGGGTTCAATTCCCAGTCAGGGCACATGCCCAGATTGCGGGCTAGGCAGCCGATCAATGACACTCTCATCATTGATGTTTCTATCTCTCTCTCCCCTCCTTTCTTCTCTCTGAAATCAATAAAGATATGTTTAAAAAAAAGAAAGTAAAGCAGCTCCGAGAGGCTAAGGGACTTGCCTGAGATCACTCAGTCATTGTTTGAGCATGAGCCACATTCATGTCCAAAACCTCTCAGGACAAATCCAAGACTCATCCTCTTGGCATGTTCGATGTGTCTGGAGAAGAAAAAGTGGGGGCCTTCTAAGCCGAGGTTTCATGCCCTCAGTGGAGTTAGGAGGCTGCGACAAGGAGGAATTGCCACCTTCATTTTCTATAGTGGGAGGGTCCTGCCTTCCACCAAGACTCACACAATGGGGTACCCCCAAACAGGACAGGTTTAATAAGCAAGGCTTGTATTAGTCAGCAGTAAGATAATCAGATCTCCACATCCTCCCATGAGAATCTTGAAGTTTATGTAGAGGCCTTAACTGGGTCAATCACGTATTCAGTCCAGATGGTCTCACAACGCATTGCTTTCTCAAGGCTGCATTCTTGAAAACAGCTCCAGCTGTGGGAACGGTGGGCAGAGATTGCATTCCAAAGACAGGAGAGCGGCTGAGGAGCCTCTGATGGCCCAGGTCCAGCTCCCAGGTCAACCAGCAATCACATCCTCTTGGTGACCTCCTCCAACACTGTGTTGAACCCCAAGGGATAACTAAGCTCTCTTAACCAACCTCCTCCTAACCTAGTTGCAGACAGAACCAGGGCATCCCTTCCAGTGAAGAGCTTCCCAGCTGATAGGGTGCTAGAAGCTCCTCCCCACTGCTCTGGCCACTGCTGCTCCCACCTGTTGCCAGACATCCACCAAGAGTCACTTGAAACAGGGATTGTTCTTAAGTTGTCCTTACTAGTTTAGTTCCTTTTATCAGCTTAAAAAAATGGACAAAAAATGAAAATAAAAAGAAACTTGTTGCTAAGAAAACTAATGCTTTAAGAATTTCAATCGTGCTTTGAATGCTTTACGAAGACCCAATAAAAAATAACTTTTAAAAGAAAGTGCTTGGAACTAGATGGGCACCATACATAAAATATTGGAGAATATATAGAAATGTTTTAAAAATTCTATAATTCTATGCTCAAACTATTTAGAAATTGCCAAAACTGGAAATTATATATAATAAATGATGAATGTGGTTTGACCAAAATGATCACAGAGTCCACCCTCAAACCGACACACCAAGCAAAGATCTTGCCCTACCTTAAAGTGGTGTGTTAATATATATTTACATTTTAAGTTTAAATCATATGTTTAAGGTGTATTTTCTTTTTTAATGACTCCCCACTTTAACTTATTTTTTCAATTAACTGAATTAGCAGCCACGCTTGTTATTGGCATGTGGCTGGTGTGTCACCCTCACATCCCAAGTCTGGGCTGGGTGGTCTTCACCATAGTATCTGGCATCTAGCACTGGGCAGGCACATTGTAAGCCCTTAATAAATAGCTGTTAAATGAATAAATAAATAAATAAATAAATAAATAAATAAATAAATAAATAAATAAGAGCTGGAAATTCAACCTCTACATTTCTCTCTTCAAAGACTTGCTCCTTCCTGGCAGCCTTCCTTACTTGGGGGAATACGGCCCATGTCCCAAACCCCCAAACTCTCTTGAGAAATAGATCTACATTTTCTTTCTCTTTTCTACCAAAGACTTACTCAGCCACAGAGCTCCAGAGTTGATTACTTGCTCATATTGTTTACACGACCAATCACCACAAATTGAGCAGCCCAAGAAAAAAGAAGTCAAAAAACCTGATCGTATTGTTACTCGTGAGAAGAAATTCGAAATAGATAGAGAGTGGGTAAAGAGCAACATTAAGGTAAGTGTGGCAATGCATGGTATTTTTACTTTGTGCAGGTTTTTATGGCTCAGGTGAGACACACAAGCCTTCGGGGAGCTGTCAGAACCAATACACAATGTGAATACCAACAAGAAAAATGTGTTCAATATATGGAGGCACATCTGAGTACAAGGGTTATCACAGATTGACTAGGATTTTATTAGGGTTCATTGAGACTCTTCTTCCTGAAGGGCCTATATTTGGCAATTGGATGGGGTTCGGAGAAGAATAAAGAAAATGTATGTTATAATATATAAGTCCCTTCTTTAATAAATTTGTAATCACATGGTGAATGGACAAATTGTGGTACATCCATACAATGGGATATTATTCAGTGCTAAAAAGAAATGAGCTATCAAGCCATAGAAAGACATGGAGGAGCCTTAAATTCATATTACTAAGTTAAGGAAACCAATCTGAAAAGACTACATACTGTGTAATTTCAACTATATAGTATTTTGATCCTTGAACAAGGTGGAGATTAGGGGCACCAATGTGCCACACAGTCAAAGATCAAGTATAACTTAAGTTGGCCCCCTACATACATGGATTCCCAACTGAAGATCAAAATTACAGTTGACCCTTGAACAACATGAGTTTGAACTGCATGGGTCTACTTATATATAAATAAGTAGACCTGCACAGTTCAAATCCATGTTTAAGGGTAAACTGTATGACATTCTGGAAAAGGCAAAACTATGGAGACAGAAAAAAGATCAGTGGTTGCCAGGGGCTTGGGAAGAGACAGGAATGAATAGGTGTGGTACAGAGGACTTTTAGGGCGGTGAAAATACTCTGTATGACACTATAAGTAAATACATGTCATTAGACATTTGTCTAAACCCCTTGAAGGCACAACACCAAGAGTGAACCCTAATGGAAACTATAGATTTTGCATGATAATGATGTACCAATGTAGGTTCATTGACTGTATAAATGTACACTGCAGTGTGGATAGTAACAGTGGTGGAAACTGTGCATGTGTGGTAGAACAGGAGATATAAGGAATCTCTGTACTTTCTGCTCAATTTTGTTGGGACCTGCTCTAAAAAAATAAAGCCTATTTTAAAAATCAATCACAAGGAAATATTTATGAAGATGGGTACTATGGAATTATAAATGAAAACTAGTCTCAAAATATTAGTCATTCAGAGTTAGTTAATAATCAGGTCTGAAGCTCAAAAAAGAGGCATGGAAGTGGGAATTAAGAAGGTGTGATAGACTTTATGCCTTCTGTAAATATCTATTGAGAATCTACTATGCCAGGGCTTCTTCTGGGTACCAGAGATACAAGAGTAAACAAAACAAAGCCCCTGTGCCCATAAAACTTATGTTTCGTTTGAGGAGACAAACAATATACAAAAATACTGTTCAGTGCTATGCCAGGTATTGGTAGGTCATGGGGGATGAGGCGGCATAAGGAGCTCTTGAGTTGTTGAGCTGAGAGAGGCAATCTCTGAAGTGGCCTTTGAGCCTAGGCATGCATGAAATGAAGGAGTGAGCCATGTAGATACCTGGTAGAAAGGCATGCTAATCAGAGCAAGCAAGGTCTCTGTCTCAAGGACAGCTGTGAATAAGTGAGAGAGGAATAAGGAATGAGCCCAAGTGCCCAGCTCAGGTAGAGCCATGTGGGTCATAGTAAGACTCTGGATTTTATCCTGAGAATGAGGTGAAACTATTGGAAAGTCTAGAGCAGAGGATAAACATCATCTGACTTATGCTCTAGAAGAATCTTTCTGGCTGCTGTTGGAGAGTAAGGTTAAGCAGCAAGAATAAAGACAGAAAGTCCTGCTGGGGGCCAGGGCATAAATTCAGGTGAGAGGTTATGGGTATCTCTACTAAGTGGTGGCAGTAGAAGTGGCAAAAAATCAGTCTTATTTGGGATATTTTTGAAGGGAGAATCAAGAGGGCTTCCTATTGAACTGGAAGTGGGGTGTGAGAGAAAGAGAAGACAAAGAATGAATCTAAGAATTTTGGCATGAGCAACTCAGTAAACATTATGTTATCATTTACTAAATTGGAGAACACGAGGAGACTAACAGAAACTAACATTTATGTAATACCATGCAGGTTATAAAGCAGTTCCACATATAATGTAAATGTAGCTTTTCCCAACAATTCCTGTGTGATGTATGGTATTATTAATTTCACTTTACAGTTGAAGAAAGTGAGACCCAGAAGAATGTACATGACTGTCTCAAGACACTGAGCCATGTTAGTCAAGGCAATGCTCATTTGCTGCTGACACATATGATTCCCAAAGCTAAGTGGCTTAATAGCCAGCTATGAGTTTCTTGCTCATGTCACATCTGATTTGAGTCCCACAGCTCTCTGAGTGGCTCTCCTAAAGAGTGGCTTTGAGGGATCTAGGAACTTTTATCATGGGTCTCTACCATCTTGTAGTTCTTTGTGTCCAGTTGCATGGACAGGAAGTGAAGCCAAGGTCCAGGCTTAAATTCCATTAACCAAAATTAGTCACATGACCTCACCTAGATGCAAAAAGACTGGGAAATGTACTCCTGTTGTGTGTCCAGCAGAAAATGAAAACAGTTTGCTCTAAGAGGAGAAGCAATCAGACATCTTCAAGTGATGAAGGTAGCATCACTTGTGGCAAAAATGTAAGAGCTAGAAACTGACACTGTCAGCCAAGGTGTGGACACTCCTGGCCTCCAGAGAAGGAATGTGAAGTTCAGTCTCCCTTCATCTCTTAGGCTTGTGTGTGATCAAGCAAATAGTAATGAGATTTAGGCTTTTAGATATGCCATTTATTATACAGTTATGCACCACATAACAATGCAACATGTTTGTGGTGATGCTGATATAAACAAACGTACTGTGCTGCCAGTCACATAAAAGTACAACACTTACAGTTATGATAGTAGACTGTGCCATCTATGGCTGTGTATGTGCGCTCTGAGATGTTCCCACAATAATGAAATCACTAAAAGACGCTATTCCTCAGAACATACACCTGTCATTAAGTGGCATATGACTATAATCTCTCAGTGAGAGAAAATGTAAGGATTTTACTTCTGTGACAGAGATTTTGCTTTGCCCATGGGATCCTCATCATTAGGAAAATGTCATTACATGACAAGTGAATTTGAAAGCAGAAAGCATCTTGAGAAAGTCTGACTTTCAGGTGGCTTTTGAAAATAAGACCTAAAATACAAATATCCTCTTTCATCAGTGATATCTAAAAGCTTTTTACAGGCCATCAGGAACAAACCAACCAAAGATGTTCTTTCAAGGCACTTATTTGGGTTAACAAAAAGAAGAGCAGTAATTTGTAGACTAAATGCATCAGGTGGCTGGGAGCTTAAAGGTCGGAGGCAGCCTCTTTCCACTGATGAGCCCAAAGGTTGAGGGGAGGGGCTCTTCTCCCTCTGGTAACTTTGTGTGAGTCATTAACCTCCCTTAAATGGGTACAATGATAATGCCCATTTTGTAGGGTCACTGTGTTGTGGAAGTAAAGTGGTTAATGCAATGCTGGGTGTGGGGATAGAGTCAGTTATAGGATCTTCTAACCTCCCATAGTGGTTTGTACCCAGATACCCATGTTCCTGGGCATTTAAAGGCTGTGCTGTAGCCCTAGCTGGTTTGGCTGAGTGATTAGAATGTTGGCCCAAGGGCTGAAGGGTCCCTGGTTCGATTCTGACCCAAGGGCACATACCTCGGTTGCAGGCTCAATGCCCAGCGCTGGTCAGGGCGCATGCGGGAGGCAATCAATTGATGTGTCTGTCTCACATCNATTTCGGCCAAGGGCACGTAGCTCAATCAGACTCAATCCCTGGCCTTGGTGGGGGCTCAAACTAATCAATGTGTCTCTCTCACATCAATGCTTCTCTCTCCCTCTCTCCCCCCTTCCACACTCTGAAAAAGCAATGGAAAAAATATCCTCAGGTGAGGATTTTTTTAAAAAGGCTATGCCATAGAGAGAAAGCTTCCAGAGATTCCTCAAACAGCTGCATTTGTTTCTTTTATTGTCTTAGATGTTGGCATTCTACTGCAAGCTTTATTTTTTCTTCTCCTTTATTATTTTATTTTATTTTCATCACCATTTATCCCTCTTCCACCTCCACCCATCCCCTTAACCCCCACAATCACCGCACTGCTGTGCTTGTCCATGAGTTCTTTCTCTTTTTTCTCTTTTTTGCTCAATCCCTTCACCCACCCCCCAACACCATCCCCACCAGAGCTGCCTGCCTGCTCTCCATCTATGAGCCTGTCTCTATTCTCCTTGGTAGTTCAGTTTGTTCATTAAATGCCACATATGAGTGAAACCATATGGTATTTGTCTTTCTCTGACTGGCTTATTTCTCTTAGCATAATGTTCTCCAGGTCCTTTTAAAATTTTCTTCCAAGTAATATTCCATTGTGTAAATGTACCACAGCTGTTTTATCCACTCATCTACTGATGGGCACTTGGCTGCTTGCAAATCTTGGCTATTGTAAATAACACTGCGATGAACATAGGGGTACATATATTCTTTCAAATTAGTGTTTTGGGTTTCTTTGAATAAATTCCCAGAAGTGGAATTGCTGGGTCACAGGGCAGTTCCATTTTAAGATTTTTGAGGTAACTCCATACTGCTTTCCACAGTGGCCACACCAATTTGTATTCCCACCAACACTGCACGAGGGTTCTCTTTTCTCCACAACCTCAACAACACTTGTTGTTTGTTGATTTATTGATGATAGTCATCTGACGGGTGTAAGATGATATCTCATTGTGGTTTTGTTTTCTTTGTGTTTTTTTTAAATATATCATTATTGATTTCAGAGAGAGGAAGGGAGAGGGAGACAGAGAGAAACATCAATGATGAGAGAGTCATTGATCAGCTGCCTCCTGCATACCCTTCACTGAGGATTGAGCCCACAACCCAGACATGTGCCCTGACCAAGAATGGGACTGCGATATCCTGGATCATAGGTTGATGCTCAACCACTGAGCCACACCAGCCAGGCTTGTTGTGGTT